TGAACACCTACAGGATGATGTTCAATTTTAGTCAGCAATGTATCAAATTTTTTCCATGTTATGTGGGCTCAGTTCTTCTAAGATAAAATTGGTGGGGGGACGGGGGACGGACAGAGTATAAAAGTTGTGTTCCACCATCCCACACACCCCAGGACGATCACTCAGGTCCCTTGAGTTCAACGGAAACTCAGGGGCAACCGTGCCTTCTCACGCACGCACGCACGCACGCACGCACAAACAAAACTCACCCCCGGACTCTGTGCAATAGTGGACTTTGTGCAATAACTGCCATGTTTTAAACCTCATTGCTCCCTATATTTTTATTTTTATCTTTAGAGTATTCATTACATTTTTTAACAATTTTTACGGGTATGAATGTGTATGTGGGTATGGGTGAGATGTGCCTGGCTTGTGTGGGTGTGCTGGTGTATGTGTACATATTTGATATTTTTCATATATTTATATGCTACAATTGGATTGCTCCAACAGAGTTTGGATGTATAAACTGCAATGACAATAAAGATCTATCTATCAAAAGGGAGCTGCAGAAGCTGAACGCTGCTCTCCTTCTTTCTCACCTCCAAAAAAACTTTGTGTGTTAAATTGAGATATTGTTTATGTTGTTCAGTCCTGGTTATGTTGTAGGGGAGAGTAGCCTTTTTCATTTGATTCATCTTTTCTCCTGTTTTTCCTGTAAGGGAGTTACTCAAGTTGCCTGTATTTTCTTTTCTTCCCTTTAGTTGAGGTAAGGTAGTTTAGATTGTGACTATATGTTGCGTTTATTATTTTTGCCGGTGCTCTCCCTGAAGTTCCATTCATTTTGTGAATATTGAGAATACATAGATGAGTGAGGACTGTAAATGCGTTGTTATTGTGATTAATCATTTGGGAGTGAGGAAGGAGAGGGTGACTTTTGTGCTACAGCTGGTGTCCCCTGTAGGCTGGACATAACATTCAACAAATCAGTTTAACAGGTGAGAAGTTAATAATTAGCTAAACGTGTTTCTGTTGCCCTCAAGTGGCCCCAAAATAAAAAAATTCATCAAGCAATGCTGTCGTTAATTTAATCTCACAAATCTACAAGTGGAACATACTTTGGCCATGTCAGGGACAAAAGGTGACGTTTGAAATGAGAAACACTGCAACGGTCATATTAGCTTTGAAACGTTGAATCAGTAAATCAAACCGGTTTTCCCTGTAAAGTTACGAGCCACTATTGAAAACAGGCTTGCCGTGATGTGACATTGAAAATAGAGCTGACAACAGCTCATTTTTGCAACAAGCCCCGGGGCAGCAGCTCCCACAAAAGACTAAATGAGTTTCATGAAAAAGCAAAGGGAGCCGTTTGAAGTTCCGGCACATAACTGGGCCAAAGCAGCAACATGCAAGCAAATGCTTACACAGCTGCTAATGAGGTTTTGTTACGCAGCGTGGCCGTGGACAACAGCACAATTAGAACAAATGGTCCCAGTTTAAATGGGATATTTGCGCTCATTTTGAGAGCTCGATGGGAGTCAACTGTAATTCTATGTAGACCATATAATAATTAGGCCCTTCAGAACAGCGTGCGATTTTAGTCAAGTAACTGTACTTTTCTTGAACATAATCAACTCTGACAGGAGAAGTCAGGCTGTGGATATTTTTTAGCAATCTCACGACATTTAATCAGAAGTGAGAACTAAACAGGTTCCAATACTTCCTTTGAAAGCATACTCCAGAAGAGTTTTTCTTAAAACATTGTTTGAGTTACGAGTTAGTATAAGGTGCATTCCTATTGGTTGCTGAGTAAGACCGATTGTGATTGGTCCACAGTATATGCAGTATGTGTGAAGTTCGCCCCCCTGCTTAGCCACTCACCTGTCCGTTCACAGCTGCAAATAAATGCTATAAATTAAAACACGTCTTCATGCTGAATTATTATTGTACACACTGAACTTAACAAAACACCAACTTTGCAGAAGTATTTGGAGCAGATTCAGTGCAACAATACATCCACCAAAGATCTGATTTGCAAGAAAGAGCAATGCCAATGTGAAGTATTTTAAGTGTATTTTTCGTTTTGTGTTCAGTACATTGTAATGATATATTGTTTTTTTGTTTTTTTTCAGAAACAAAGTGATCTAGTCTGGATTGGTCGGGAATGGCCAGAAAAAAATCCCTTTCAGATGACTCTTTTTTAAAAACCTTTCTACTCTTGGCACAAGTCAGTATGTTTTTACTTAACCTTCAGTGAAGAAGTTCAATCAGTCCTTTAGAATTTGTTATTATGAACAAGTTTTTGTGCTTCTTGAGTACAGAGTGTGTCTGCTGTCCAAACCTCTGATCATTTCACATCATTTAACTCCGACACAGTTTGTTAGCCAACCTGCTACGATATCTCTCTGACAATTTAGACGAATGATAATACAGAGTACATACTGTATCTCTCATACTTTCCCACTTGTCAGCTTAAATTAACTATTTACTTTTACTGATTTACACTAGGGACCACATCATGGCATTTCAGAACTCCAGAGCCGAGGGAGACCATATACCTCCACAATCTATCAACAACGCAAACCTGTCACAGTTTGTTTACTGAGTTTTGATTTAGTCCGACGGTACCTGGCAACTGTGACAGGCAACAATCAACTCCCCACAGAGGCGATACAACTTTCCAATATCAAAGTGTTTCCTTTTCTCACTCTGCTTGGATCCTGACGACTTCATATCTCTCATCATCCCAGCATTAACGCTGTTTGTGTTTCCCTGTGTGTAATAAAAAGCTAATAAGCAACTCTGGAATTAGATTCAGTCCAAGTCTAGATTTAGAAGCTAATTTCCTCGTACAGTTTTCTGGTGCACACAGTGACTCACAAAGAGAATTTCATTTTTACAACAACCTCTGTTATAAGAGCACTAGGGACATCACACACAGTGCTCCAACACAGGTGTTTTCACTTACACCCACTAGTGAAGCCTCTTCTCAGGACAGAGTGGGGTTCAACAAAGGATGCTTAACTAACAGCTGACTCTCCTTTTGGTTTTGTTTCATCCAACAGGGTGAAGAACCTTACATCTTCATGGGTTTTTTTAAAAAAAAGAAGCAGAATTTGAAGTTTGGTGACTTCAGCACACTTTAGTAACACACGACTTCAAACAGAATAACTGAGAACACACATGTGGAGTTCAGGGCCGTTACTGGCTAACGTTTTTTCTGTTTCGCTGGTAAAAAACTGAATGGGTGGAATTTTGTAAACAAATGGACGCAATTCTGAAGATGTTGGAGACGTGTCAAGGGTGATGTCAGATCAGCGTTTTGTATGTTTCTTTAATAGTTGTATTGTCTGGAGGCAGCGGGATCTCAAAGGTTAAAAAAAGAATTAAAGTGATCATATCATCTTCTCACACAAAGAAAACTTTCGAGCTAAATATTTTTTCAATAATTGCGACTGAGTTTGCAGCTGTGTGTCAACCAACTGTATTCATGCTAATTAAATGTGTTTAGATGGATAAAAACTTTACTTTTAAGCACTTGACGGCCTTTGGAAAAAGAAAATTCCCCTCGATACTTGCAACACAGAAAGACTCAAAACTTGGGAAATACGGAAGCTTGTCCAGAGTCATTAAGTCATTCAAAATATCATGACCAAGGTACCACTCCCAAACTAAGAAAAGGCACTTCAAACTATATCACCTGAATTTAACACTACATTAATACAACCAGATGAAGGCGACTAGAAAAGACTACACAAAAAAAATAACAATTTGAGATTAAAGTCGTAAATGTACGCAAACTGTCTTTGCGGTACATAAAGCTTATTTGCATCTGGTTGGCAATATCCCCTTTAAATATATCTTAAACCAAACCATTTTAGTTTCCAAACATTACACACATCTTTTGCTTTACCTCAGGTCAGTGAATTAGATCATAACCTGACAGAATCACCGACAAAGCTTATTATCAGCAATGTGACATGGCCACTGTCACAGAGACAGTCCAGTCGTACTGACAAGCTGAAACCCTTCAGATCTCTCATTATCCATTAAGTGTTGGAAAAAACGAATCCAGCAGTGCCAACTTTAATGGCTTAAGGCTCCCTGTGAGATCACAATGGGGGAGACCCTCACTCATCACACCATCATCCAGGAAGTACCCGAGAGACGGAAATAATATTCACCTTGAATTCACCTCTCGGTGGGCTCGTAATTGCAGGAGAAAGGTGTGCTCAGGGTCTGGAGTCCATTTCCACACAAAACATGGTTGATGATTAATGAACCGGTGGGAACAAACAGTGAGCGACCGCTCTCAAACAGCGTCTGCGAGCTCATATGCCACTGAGTGCATGCTTCAGATATATATGCAAGACCTTGTTCCGCTCTTTAAAAAGTCAAGAAAGAAAAGTGGATGTGGGTCTGACTGTGATTTGTCCTGCCTTTGTGCATACATGTGCACATTTGTGTTTAACTGCATGTGTACTGAGTGCAGTCATCACTGTCATGTCGTTGCTATTAGATTAATTGCCTTGCTTGTGACAATCAATAACACTAATGTGTCTGTTTCCTAAATTTGATCTACCTTTTATAATGACTACATGGCATGTCTAAATTAGTGCTGCTAATCAATCACAGGTCAGGCTTTAATGAGCGGAACAGCAGAACTGTTGACAGCTACTTTAAATTGCAAGAGGAATACACTATCCTTGTGTGTGTGTGTGTGTGTGTCTGTGGTCTAATGTGTGCAGAGCTTGTATCCAGCAGCATTTTCAAGCAAATAGCACCGCGGGAAGCTCTGAGATCAAGGATTTCGTTGTTGTCTTGCGTCTTTTGAAATCCTGTTTAAAGAGCCTTTTTTTTCCCTAGAAGTGGTCTGTGTGCTGATATCTTAAGAAGGAAAAAAAAACCCTGGCAGCAACATGCAACGTGGTTTCATTTCCTTTGTTAACAACAGGGATCTGTGTTGCTGTGAAGGCTGGTCCCTTGTGGACAAACAGCAGGATGCATCTTCAAGAACAACTCACCGATGGGGCTGGTTTCCCTCCTTTTGCAGTGCAGACGAGAGTGAAATTCTGGGCCTGGTATCGACTGAATGGAGCTGGAGTGTTCTCTGCCACCACCGATATGTTGTTTGGAGGTGCTGTGGAGAACAGAAGTGAAATCTTTGTGACAATATATCCCACAACAATTCTTTGATATTTAAAAAAAGCAATTCTCAGCTATTTTTTTTTGCTGTAAAAAAATATCTGCTTTCCCTTTCGTCAGCGCACGTTAATATATGATTTCATCTCGTTTTTACATGGAGGCCTATATGAAGAAGCAGATTGAGATTTTCTGGCACAACTTCACAAACTATCAATGTGCATGAAGATTGAAAGGCTTGAAGAGGTCAAAAAAGCTCCAGCAACACTTGTTGTATGAAGAGCAACTTAATTAATAAAATGTATCTTCATTCTGCAAGTTTTGTTCTCAGTGAAGACGAAAGGATCTATGTGTTAACAAGTTTTGCTGTAGCTACAGTATGGGGGATATGTGCAATATCTGTGAAGTATTGTTCAGTACATGTTTTTTGTGATAACTACGATACGCATAGTGATTACTCATATTTATTACTTTTTAGAAATATTTTCTCATATTCTGTATGTATAGAATAAATTGTGCTAGCATGGTACATTAGTAGAAGGTATTACAATTGTATCTAGTTTTCTATAGTTTCATTAGTTGTTGCTTCAAAAAGGATGAGCACATGCTTTAAACTTTCCTGCCCTCTATAGCTCCCCCAATCACAAATCCCTGCTGACAGCAGAGGTGAAAGGTTATAGTACCCACATTAAAATAAATCAAACTAGAACAAAGCAGACCTGCTTTATCAGTGTACTGTATCTTTGCAAAAGAAAAAGGGACCTGCTGAGAGCATATCCACTTAAAATGGTAACTGGATGTTTGGGACAATATGTTCACAAGTCCCCAGGGCTCATGTGAGTCGGATGAGGCTGATAAGGTAGAAAATCTCATACATATCATGTAGCGAACCCTCCCTGGGAATCTCTCTTGCTGGGATTCCAGTGAGTATGTGATGACAGCGTAAAGGGAGAACATGTGAAGTAGACTTCACAGCATTACAGAGGTGCACAGAGAGGAGAAGCAGTTAATGAATAGAAATCTCCAACATCCCCGAGAAAATCAGCTGATCAACATGCAGTTCTCCAGTCCTCATATGGAGGCTTAAATATGAATACTTCCAAGGCGCCAATGTGGCTGATTCAGGGGAATCTCACAAAGCAAGTTTTAACATGACGACTCTGCAGCAGATGATGGCCAGCTGCACATGAACCACTTGACTTTATATCAGAACTGGTGAGTGGAACCTGCACATATTCAGCAAATACGATGCAGAGGTAATCATGTTTCTTCATATCTACATGTCTTTTGGTAGGGGGGTGGGCGTGGACCATGCTTTCCCCTTTAAGATTTAGCATTGAAAGTCTGCTATTTTTCCTAAATATGATGTCGGTGATTGTGTTTAAAAACACAAGAACCTGTACAACCTAAGCAACAAGGTAATGAGGGTCAATATGCATAGTTTTCAGTCATGGTCCTGGCCCCGACGCCTGAAGGGCAAAGGGGACTTAGAAAAGTGACAGCCATTATTGTTAACATCATAAAGATAGAGTCAATACATGTACAGCATATAGGGCTTCAACACTTGCAGAAATCTTTTGAAAAACTCCTGATATTTCCAGGAGGAGCTGTATGTGTGAACGTGAACAGGCAAATTTTTTGCACCGACTTCACCTGGAGTTTCTCCTGCCAGACCCCTAGTATTTTTCTGCAGCAAGTCCGAGTGAGCTGATGTGAGAACTCCGCAGGATATTATCCGGAGAATTCATCTCGAGCCAACAGAAGGGGGAGTGACGTTTGTATACTTCAACTGCTGCATGGTCACCAGTATGTTGATCTCTGCTCTTTTGTTGATGTTGTATGTGATGAAATTATCTAGTGTGAAATGTGAAAACGGCTACAAAGAGGTAAAAGATGGAAACCTTAGCTTTCTGTAGCAACAAAAAGAAGTCTATAACTATAATAGTTTTCATTTAAGATTTTAACAACGTCATATTAAAAAAAGGCCAAGGCTGCTTTCAAAGGGTTAAACAGCTCTTATCTGAGAGACAAACCTCTGTGAAATCTGTTAAGCATCCCAATAGATTTTCTCTGAATATGTCAGCCATGCTTTTAAGGCAGATAAGGCGGAGAGAGAGAGAGGTCATGCAGGGAGCATTGCCTTCTTCATGTCACTTTACATGTATATCTATCAAGCAGTCCTTGACGGACATGCCACGGAAATTAATTGATTAAAGATGTGGATGGGGGATTCAGCTGCTGGCCTGGGTGCCTCTGTGTTTCCACACCTCTTAATTGCTTATTGATGGGATTCATATGGCAGTAAATTAACCTTAGGACACTCAATTAGCTTACTGACAAGCCTGTCTCAACCTGGCATATGAGAAGCTGTCAGAGGTGTCGGCTCCTGACCAATCATGCTCGAGTGCTCGACACAGAAGCCGTGTCACGAGCTGAAGTGCCTCTAAGGCGGTGAAGTTGCTCCAGTATGCACAGCAAATAATAAGACGATAAAAAAAGCAAAACAAAAAAGCAACACAATCTGGCTTTATGGATTTATAATATTGATTGCTGTGTTTCATAAAAGAACATAAAACTCTAGTTAGTAAAAGCTTGATGGGGTCCAGTGAATATATTCCCAACGCCATCATCAATTCTTCGTCTATGAAGAAGTGCTCAGAGTTCCGCTTTAATACGCAGTTAAAAATTATGATTCATTTTTAACAGTATTAGCGGCTGTAAATACGAAGACATCAAAAGATTATGTAGCAATCCGGAAGGAGTTTCAACACACCTTAACATCCTCATTTAATTAAGACAAAGCTAATTTCCTGAAATTAAATCTCATCACATTAATTAGCACTACAGTCAGATTGATAATAGTATTTATGGGCCATTAAAGAGCACTTCTCCAAAGCAGTACTAAGGAGATTCTTTGTTTAGTTGGTATAAAATCACTAAGACAACCTTCAGGTCATGTTAGTTCAGGAGAGCTCGACATCGATCACAGAGCTCTGTTGTTTTCTGCCCCCGTGGTTTCAGGGCTCACTTAATGGAAGTCAAAGCCAAAGACCGCAGTAAGCCTTTGTGAAATATTTGACATGATTAAAACCAAGACCTCCTGTGCACATCTGCAAACACAACAACACCGTCTAGGATTAAGATAGTTGTTTATGGTGATGGAGTCTAAGCCTTTCATACCTCATTTAATTGCATCCCTTCTCTTCACGTGCTGAAGGGTGAGCTAATATTTTCTTGTTCTTAAGACTCCGAACTCAGGTCTGCATTCAAATAGTTTGAGAAGAACTTTTGAATTTCAACATTTCTCTCCTGTCAAGGTTACCGTGTAGTGTGTTGATGCTGGTACAGTGCTCATACAAAACAGGGAGAGCCAAAACTTGTGAATTGAAATGCAAAAAAAAAAAGCAACCACAGTTAAGTTTGCTAAACAACAAGAAGTCTTTGGGGAGAAAAAATATCACAAGGAAAAAAAACAACTTTTAGAAAGAGCGGAAAAAAAAACTGTCAATATCTTTGAGATTCTTCTGGTGGTTTCTTTGAAGAGTAGATATAAAAATTGTAAATCCTCTCTGCAGAGTCTTCGCGTTTCCTTAATATAATGAAAACTGCTCGGATACACAGTGTACTGGAAATGTTTGTGCTTTGTGCCTGGCATTTTGATTGCCACATAACTTTTTTTTTTACTTAGACTCGAATGAGATTTTGTGAAAAACGCATAAACTTTTTTTTATCACTTTGAGTTTCGCCTGATTTTAGTCATTTTCACTGAACTAAGGATTCAATCTTTCATTCCCAGTTGAGTAATTTGGCCATCTTCAGGGCTCATGACGTTTATGAAAAACTAAACAGGCTTAAAAATTCTAAAAACTCAGGCGTTCACCTGACAAAAGAACAAGGAGCACCTTCACAGAACTTATCAAATACACTCCAGTGCAGTGGTTTCTAAACTTCCTGCTAGGCCCATCTTTGGCAGATGCCGAAACTGTCAAGCATGTTATCATTTTACTCATTTTATCTCTATGTAAAATGTGTGTTTCGGGAAACTGCTCTTTCAGCCGTCCCCTATACTGCACAGACTAGAAAAAATGAATTTGTCATCACCCATCTCATGAATATTCGGTCTTCATCCTGTTCATTCGGAGGAGGCTGAGGCCTGCTGCCCATTTTTATATATAGTCTATGACAGGGATGGGCAACTTTGGTCACAGCAAGGGCCACATTCATTTAATTCTCACCACCAGAGGGCCAAATTGTAGGATATAAAAACGATTACAGTCAATCATGTCTCAAATTTAACTCGTATACCAGTGATCAAATATTATTATGGACATATTTCTGGTTTTCATGATTTCATGGCAGATTTTGTCATGTTTTCTTTATGTTTCCAATTAATTGATGTAAAAATTGACTTGAGGGCCATGTTGAGGGTTAATGGGGGCCGCATGTGGCCCCTGGGCCGCAAGTTGCCCACCTCTGGTCTATGATCAAAACCAGTGGTGAACATTAAATACAATAGATATACTAAAACAAAATGGCAACCCTCATAACATTCATTAAAGGGAGAACGTGCAACTTTTTGATCCAGTCGATGTCATCCTTGTGCACTAGCACAAAAACCAAAACAAAACGCTGTTTTGTGACACCTCCGCTATTCTGAAGCCTCCGCTCTCTTCCAGCGACACACCTCCAACCCCTCTCCACTCGTGTTCACACAAAGGAGTTATCAATTAGAACGCACAATAATTAAGCACCATTAAGCGCAAGTTGCAGACAAAATGTTTATTTGCTCAAGCTGCAGCTGCCTGTGGCCTGCATTGTTGTGTTAGCATGCTAATATTAGCACACATTGGTTAACTTGTAGCTATTGCACATTAATTGACACAGAATGATCTAAAGACACTTATGTGACATCTACATAAGCAGTGAGTATGTTATTCTTCTTTTCAACAGCTTTATACTCAAGGCCGTCCTGTCCGTGTAAACATGATGTAAACACGG